GACATGAAAAAATTTCTGGTAGTATGTTGATTTACTGGCCAATAGGAAACTTCTTACTCCTTTGTAGGTCTATGAAGCATGTTTTGTAAGGGTATAGCATAAATTTCAGATTTTTCAAAAAGGAACTTGTCTCTATCTTTGCAAAGAGTTGCTAGAGTTTATACAACCACTCTCTGCCATTTTCCCTTTCCCAACTATTCCTGCTTTATACTTTTTCTAGAGCTGTTAAAGACTGGACTATCTCTAATCATTTAATTAAAGCAGTTAAGATAACTTCTGGTTTAAAGCTATAAGACATTTCTGCTTTGCTTGCTCGCCATGCAAACTAAAGATATTTTAGCTTTTAGCATGAATTATGTTTGCTTCTTCGTTGGCATTGTGACTGGTTTAGGTCATTTTCATAAACATTTGTGCTGAGTGAAACTTTCCCCTCAGTCTTTTGCCACTTTTGCAGCTCTGCTAAAGGAACTCCGCTGAATCTCATTTGTGAGTGCACAGATCTTTTCTCAGGTAGACATTTCCCAACTTTCTTTTAGAAGTCTACTATCCTGTTTAAAAGGACCAAACTTCTGAAATTATCTCATAGTATCTTTTAGGTCAAGATGTTTTTGGTTTTGCCCTTCACTTATATAATCAATCTACAGCTCTACAGTCAACTAATTTACTCAAGCAGGATGAGTGAGTTTCAGTGACTTATTATGTTTCAACAACTAAATTAGAATTTAAAAAATAACTTAAATCCGAAAAGATGTCATTTCAATTTTCATTTAAAATTCAAAATAATACCTTTTTAAATAAAAGGTTTATTCGACTTACTTCTGACTCGAAACCAAAACAGTGCTTAGTTCAATATACCTTCACTAACATTTTCGAACTTAGTTCTTCTTCAGGTAAATAAAAGAAAACAGGCAGAACCGATGTTAATTGAACATATCTGTTTCATGCAAATTCTGAAACACAATATTCTTTTCATTTTCTTTTATTCACCTGAAGAAGAACTAAGTTCGAAAATGTTAGTGAAGGTATATTGAACTAAGCATTGTTTTGGTTTCGAGTCAGAAGTAAGTCATATATTTTACAGTGTGTATAGATGAGATCATTTAAAAGGTTTATTCTTCAATAAATCCTATATATAGTAGAATTTGTATGTAGATTTATTACTTAAAATTTTTACTATATAATCCACAGTAAATAACAATATAACATGAGAAAAAACTACTAAACAAGGTTGATTGGAATAATTGTAAATAAGGGTATTTTTAATTTTTTTCTGCCCATCATCGTACAGTGTAATTTGAAAATATGGTGCAGAATATTCTCAGGACCCAAAGTTTTCCTGATAATTATTGCTTACTTGCATGCACTCAAAATAAAACAATAATTTATGAATCAATTAATAATTACAACTATATAGTTTGGAAAGTTCAAATTAAATCATACAAATAACTAAACAGGCCTACTTTATAATATGATGATCAATATTATACTGATAAATTAATACAAAAATTTTTTTGATTAAAAAAAATGCTTCAATTTAAGCATGTATCATCATCATAGGATACCATACTCAATTATAAACTTGATGTAATACATTAATTAATAGAAATAAAATTGATGTCAATATCACAAATGACCTATTTTTAGCATGGGGCACTAATTAACAGATTGTTTTGACATCCAAAAATACAAAATCTTTATGACAAAAAATCACAATTTTTTCTGAAAATTATTTAAAAAATGCAGAAACTTTTTGCAAAAACATAAATTTTTTTAGTTTTTGACTGACTTTCATTTTTATTGTTATTTTCTAAAAGCACAATCACATTTTTATGATGTTTTAAAATTTATTATAAAATAAAAATATAAATGTTGAAATATATCTATAAAAAATATGAAAAGTTATGTTTATAAAATGATGATAAAACTTCTATTTAGTTATTTAATCAAAACAATTCGGGAAATTTTTTAAACACAGTTCATTAATTTGCAAATTTCCCATCTGGCGAATGAATAAATATTTTGTTTAAATTCACGCTGACACACAATTTCACACATTAAATAGTGCCAAAAAGAGTTTTGAAATAAAAATGGATTTTTCTTTTCAGCTCCTTTTAAAGCTTGGTTTCAGTTTTTCATAAAAATTGAAGCCCACTTTAGCAATTATGTCCTTCCTTACTAATAGAACATAATTGTTAAAATGGACAGTAATGTAAAATTAAGCAATCACACTGTTCAGAAACAACATGAACAACATTTCATTTTTAAAACACACAATATCCATGTGTTTTAGCAAATTTCCTCAATGTCTATACACTTAGCAGAGATGCTATTCCATTTTTTTGTAGCTATTGCCAAAATAATATTTTCCTACTGTAAACTTCCCCTGAACCTCATTCATGAAATTAGACATATCCTGCAAAACTGTTTAAAAGTACATGAGAATGCTTTACTTATGGCTTTATTATGTAACCTTTGATGTGGTCATGTACAAATGAGATTTTGTGCTATATTTTTTGTATTGATTAATAGAGGAGTGCAACAAGGTAAAATTTTTATCTCCCTATCTTGGCTCTTTACTACAAAAACTGCAAAATTTGACATTTACAATTACCCCATACCAAAAGCAAGAAGAATAATTGTAAATGATATTTATAAACATGAATCTGACAGTATTTATAATCAGATTTGTATTTATAAGTACCATTTACAGTCAAGAATAAGCTTATTTAACTATGAGCATCTGACATGGAGTAATACTTCAGAATACCTAAAACATAAAGAAAGAATCCATTATAAATTTAATATTTTGTCTCTAGTGAAAATCCAATATGCTGTGACAGACTTAAGGCTAAAATATATGATATTGTTAGCGTTAAGTCAGGCAAATTACAGGCATGTTTCTTTTCAAGTTTTCTTATTTGTATTGTCTATTCATACAAACAGTTTTACTTGCTTATGAAGGGCACTGAGATCTACATAATAATTATACGATAAATTATTGATTTTATTAAAAACTGCACTAGAAACTTGTGGCCTTCACTTGTTAGTTTAATTTTTATAGAAAAAATAATAGTTCTGAATCAAATTATTTCATTTGAGCTTATTCTGATGTATATCAATGTAGACTGCCTAAATACAGTATTTCTCATCCACTTGGTATAATTAAAATGTCCAATTTTGTTTGTTTTGCATTTCAAAGATTCATATTCATTTACAAATCCCCTAGAATCCTAAGCTCAAAAACTGGGGAATTTATAATTACCCCAGCTTTATAGGGTAAATGTAAATGTGGATTTTTTAAAACATTTTTAAAAATATCTCTACTAATACAGCCTGCCTGATAGAGATAATTTCAGGTATATATGTGATTAGTGTTAGTAAGGTGATAAAACCATTAAAAAATAATAATAATAACCAGCTATGCTTTAAGCTGCAAAAAATTGTAAACAGTGGGAAATCAATACCAACATTTACAATTACTCCACTCAACCTTATAAATTTTATGAAAGCTAAATAATTTTAGAATAATATTAAATGCCATTAACTAGGAAAATATTCTATGTAAAAATATGCACAAAAATTGATTAGCAGCAGATAAACTTTAGATACCATGCAAAAGCTCAAAATCAATAAAGACTGTAAAAATATCATTTATAGGCAGTTCCGTATCCATCAGTTACACCGACAACATTGGTTACGTCAATATTTTACCATAAAAACCTTAAACCAGAAAAGTTGTAACATATGCAACATGTAATTAAAAGAATGTTACTTCATAATGTATTATATATTACATAATGCACAATATACAGAATGTTAATTATAAATCTCATACTATATAATCAGCAGATATTTTAATTGAATATATAAATTATATAGAATTTCTTGCATTTTAAGATATACAGAGACTATCACTTCTTAGATTCATATCATAAAATAAACTAACATGAAAAATTCTTTTCTAATAACTAATCTACTGATTTATTTATTTCTTAAATCTATATATATTTTATTTCACAAAAGCAAATAATTCGTATCAGTTCCTTGATAATATTTACATCAATCACAATTAAATCACCATTTACACATACAGAAGTTTTATCATTATTTACTAAAATAATAAAAAATAAATAAAAAGCATAAACCAATTTAATCTTATATAAATGATGTAAACTTAAAATAATGTAATATTTCGTACAGTACAATTCACTTTTTAATATTTGTCGTCAAATCAAAACAGCATGTTATAGGCCCAGGCAAATTCGAATCTGGGGATCCCCGTACACTGCGTCGACTTCGGCATTCTTCTTCAGGGAATTTTTGGAGGAAATATTTTCTCATAAAATTGGTTTGGGGGCCCCAGACAATAGCCTTTTGTGGCCAAAGGATAACATACCACTGAATCAAAACAGAAGCACAACAAATATAGGAAAAAAAAACAAAAATTATTTTTAAATAAATACCGATCAAATATTTCCTATTAAATTGTTTTGATATTGTCCGCTTACACCACGCGTATTCGTCTAACGTACAGTACGTGTTAACGTGAGATTAAACAGTGTTCGAGTGTTTAACCTTACAATTAACTACATCGAGTAGTGACGATGGTGTATACATAATCTATACAAGTTAAGGTGTTAAAATAACACTAACTTCGCGTCAATTACGCGTAAGTTCACGCAAATGTAACGTGACAAACATGTGCACGTCACACAAGCGGCCTTCCTGACGAAACACAGAAAGGGTATAACGGTGAGGAATTAAACAAACTCTTTCATAAATGTAACGTAAATGCTTGCAAAACAGCCGACTTTAAATAAATAACCAGTAAACATGTATAGTTAATGCCATCGATCGCCTTAAAATATAAAATTATAAACATTTTAACCGATCGCTTCGACAATTCATGCCTTCATTCATCGAAATGTTAGGCCTAACGGACGTAGAGAAACAAAAGACCACCGTTTATACGTGTAATAATTACATTAAGGAATTTTTACCTCGTTATTGAATGCTCTAACCACTTCCATATTGGCGACGTCTAATTTTCAAACAAACAATCTATTAAAATAATCACAACTTCATCAACGATTCATATGAAGTATCTTTCGTATTTTCAAAATGGCGAACGACATCCCCAACTTCGACCGACGGATTCGCCATCCCATTGGTTAATGTGTGGCGCCATCTGCAAAATATGAATTTAAAAAGTTAAAAATATATATATATACAGTATATTAATATATTTGTCGTTTTGGTTTTTAATATTAATAATTTAAAATTATTTAATTTAATTTTAGCTTATGTATGTCGTAATTTAATGTTTTTATAAAACACCATTTTTGTTATTAATAATTTTATTTGTTACACGAAAATGAAGGAATATCGAAATTATAAAATATGTCGGAGTCGTACTTTCGGTAATTAGTCTACTTGGAGAAAGGAAAAGTAATTTTTATGGCTTAGGGATTAGGTGGTTGCTGCTGGAATGAGGTTATAAATGGTGCTGTAAGTAGAGTAAATGGAGATGCAACAAGTAGCGACCAGAGACGGGTGTAATAAATCAATCAATCATGGTCAACGGGATGGCATCTACAGTACAGTTCTACTTTTTCTTAATAATTTGCCATTCGGAAACAAAATAATATTTACTTCTATTATTTTAAATATAAAATAAATAGAAGTGTATTTAATATGCAAAGAGCTCGGGATAGAGTGCGTATTCTTTGTCTCTTAGCCGACCCCTTTAGCTTTATTTATTTATTTTTTATTTTTATTTTTTTTGAACGAATAAAACACATAGAATAACTTAAAAATTTTATTTTCTGCTAGTAAAAATAACATTAATTTTGTAGAGAGAGGAACCACTATAACCTCCAAATTTTTTCCCTTGTCCGGGGAAAATTCCCTAGTTCCTCTATTCGATGGCCCTCCTGTTAATATACGAATAATATTGGCCGAAATAAGCTAATTTAGTTGAATCTGAGGTCTTTTTTTTTTATGAGTAATATTTTCTTGTTAGTATTTTTATAGTCCTTTCAACATAAGTTGCAGTTGTTAAACTAGACTAAACCACTTGAATCATTCACAAACGAGAGGGGTATACCAGAGGTGCAATAAACAATTAAGTATTTACAACTAATAAAACAGTCTCTCTCTACAACTGGATGAAAAGTAGTTTATTCTTGTTTGACAAATGCTAACTTATGTTGGAAGAATGTTAATTATTTATTGGAAGATTCGAAATTGTATAAATTGACACGTGATGACATTATATTTTGCTTCTCTTTACTGATTTTAAGACCAATATCTTCTACTGTTACAGACCTTCATTCCTCCAAATTCCCTGCTATTCCTTCTCAAACCCACCGCGTAGTCCAGTCGACGTGCTAAATGTGATGGATCTCAGTCCCCATTAGTGGTTTTTAGATCATCAGGGGAAGAGTAATCGGTTTTGCTTTTGATGGCAAATGTCGTGGGTTATTCATGATGAGGGCAGATTGGGTTGGATTAGTGGGAAAAAGCAGCGCAACACATGGGCAATCTGCCAAAAGGGATGCCTCCCGGGATGACTTTTATTGAAACTGCCTCCTATTCAGGCGTTCGACATGTGAAGAAAACCCAGGAAACTCCAAGGGACCAGGCCATTTGTGAGTCGCAAACGCGCAACCAACTACCAGCGTCAGTTTCCATTTTGGAGGTTTTATCTCCAGATTCAGATTTCCTAACTAAAGGGCAGACACTTGAGTTAGGAAATAAATCCCCGAAATTTAATGGCAAGGAAGTCTAACAAACTCTGGGGTAGGAATTAAATCTCCTGCGGGTTTTAATTGAGGAAGTTTAACAAATCACGGGGTAGTTTCTAAACATTTGTAGTTTCTTGTTAATTTATAAACCGATGTTAAAGGTTTAAACTCATCGAAGTAACCAATAAATTATTCAAATGGAAGCTGTGTCAGATCGTGATGAAATTAATGAAGCAATTATTAACTGTAATCAACGAAATGGATTGCTATCTTCCGTTAAAACGTATTCGGAATCTGTTATACCGACGTATGATAATTTTACATTTCGAAGTCATTTTAGAATGAGTTAATGTAGAGGCGTAGCTAGGGTGGGGCAAGTAGGGTACGTGCCCCGGGCGCCTTTCAAAGGGGGAGGGCGCGCAAAATCGCCAATTATTAAATTTAAAAATCAAACTAAATCAATTCATATCAAACAATCTCGTCCGCGACACACGCGTTTCGCGAATGAGCGAGAGGAAATGAGTGGTGCGCGCAGGTGGTGCACTAACTCGTTCAAATTCGACACTTCTCGCGCAGTTGTTTATTTTGTTTACATGTGATTCTAATTTAAATACTCCCGAGTGAGCGAGCGATTTATTGAAGTACTTGATTTGTAATCTAATTGTCAGTGTGTGGCTTGCTGAGCCTTGTTTTTTTCTCTCTTCCACCATTTTCCCTTCATAAATTTCACTTCCGGCCTTTGTTCTATTGATCCTACCGTAATTGTTTGACCCAATGGTCCGATGGGTCACTAGAGAGTAGGGGATGACACTGGATTGGTCAAAGGAAACTGGCGCGAGAGGATAGGGGAAAATCGTCATTCGAGGAGAAGAGCTGGGAAGGAGAAGACAGAGTTATCAAGGAATACGGAAAGAAGACCCACTACCGCAGCGTAGCGAGGGGGCAAGGGAGCCTATTATGCCCCGGGCGCCACTCGCAAAGGGGTGCCAAATGGTCTCCAAGACAAACAAGATTTGTTTGTGGAGAAGGAGGGGGAGGGGGCGCCAATATAGTGTCGTGTCCCGGGCGCCAGTTATGTTCGCTACGCTAATGACTTAGAGCCGCCGCAAACTACAGGATGCGGGAGCTAGCGTACGCTCGCTCGCGCTCCTGAGCCCCGCCTTTTTTCCCATGATGCTATGAGCCATTTTTGCTAGGTAAGCTACGCGGGCACGAAGCAGCCGCAAACTACACAACGTTTGCTCGCGTAACGTAGTCCACATGACGTGGATTCTGTGGATTCCACAGATGTAGATTGGCTATAGAACAAGATTTTATTATAACCTATACTTGTAATCAGTCAGTTTTCGTTCCGAACTTTGAAACAGCATGGAAAAAACATGTTTACTAGTTAATATGTATATAATTCGTCTCTGTAATCCAAAATTTTTGGTAGACGGACTCACAGGAAAACTTTTAGTTAGGAACTCACTTTTATTCTTTAAAAAATGACAATTTTTATTGTCATTTTTTAATCGTACGGCGAAACAAAAACAATGACGTCACTAGTAGAAGTTAGCATACTGCGCATTCTTTTATTCAGCAGTGCGCTGAGCAGTTTCTGCTGGAAATGACGTTTTTGCTGCTGACAGTTGAAAACACTTTTGCTGGAGACAGAGCTATCTCAAAATGGCTGATACAAACAATGATTTTCTTTCTGCTATATTTACAAGCGTTTGTTCAATGTTATTAGAAGAAAAGCCATTAAGTTCAATGTTGTTTATAAGAAAACGAGAAAATGATGATTTATTTATGGCATTGGCGATGACTGATTCCCAACAACGAAGAAAGCGTGCAAAAATCGTTGGTTACGTTCACGATATCGTACCGCAGTATTCGAATGAAATCTTTAAAAGCCATTTTCTTATGTCACGATTAAAAATCTGCTCATTTAAAATAGCAAAAAACTGATTATTATTTGGTAGTCGAAAAAGATTCTTTCTGATTGAGGCGTCCATCTTGTAAGCACTATTTTTAGCGCGGTCGAGAGGTGCTGCTAGTGCGCTGAAAGCGCAACTTAAGCGTGTTGACAGTAGGTCTAATAATTGAACACATGCGCTAAAAGCGCTGCAAACGCGCTGAATAAAAGAATGCGCGGATAGATAAAATAAGCTGACTGAACTAGCTAGAATTCTAGCGGTGGGAGGAGTCAAGCAGTAGTTAGAAACGAGTTCAACATTGCAGCTTAACTAGACTTAGCAAGAATTCTGTGTTACTGAACATGGCTCTGGTCTCAATTTTTACCTAGAGACATGTAAAAGACCAATGGAAGAGCGAGGAAGGAAAAGCCCAATTAGAAATAATTCGATCCCCAGGAAACTATAAAATCTCCGCCGTCGAGGACGAGGGACTTCGTCTCGAATACACTTGTTGTGATCGTCGCCCTCTTCTCTTGATGCTTCCGCTCGTCGCTATCTTATGTTACTTTCACCATCGCCCCGGGGATCCACGAAAAGAAAACCACTAGAGACATCTGGAACCTTGTCAATCATTTGTAAGCATGTTCTTCGAAAAAATAAATGGATTCCTTTGTGAAACACTTGTCTTTTGCTGCCTCCTAAAACCGCCACTCACATAATAATAAACCTTAGTCCATCCCGACAAGAGGGAGTAAAAACCCGCTCTAATCGGCGAACTTACAACTTGGTTTCTGAAAACCTTCGTGAAGCGACCCGCTCTATTTCTCATAAGCACAAAATCATAAGTTGAGATTTTATATGCTAAACGTGGAGAAAGAATATACAATTATACATTGGTCTTCTAAATAACTACTTAATAAAGGAACAAATACAGAAAGAACAGCGCAAGCCTTCTGCGTTGCAGAACATGGTTGAGTACGGCAAAGCACAGAAAAAAAAACCTAAAGTTCACATTCCTTAACATTAGGTAACATCTAACAGACATTTAAAAATATGATACTAAAATATAGTACAGTAGAGCATCGATTATCTGACCCCCGATTAACCGTCACATCGGTTAACCGACCGTTCTAGTCGGCAAATTTCAAATGTTCACTAGTGATGTGGCACTACAATATTTGGCTATGTCTTGGCTACTTTAATATTATTTTTGTTAAATTTTTGCGTGTTTTAGCTGGCAATACTGGCTCGACCATTGAAGGGAGGCCAGTATTTAAACGAGACTTAATTTTCTAATTATGAGTGGTTGTTTGTTTTGTGAGCAATAAAAGAATTTAAAAATAATTTTTAACGATACAATAGCGACGATTATTATAAAAAAAAAAAAGACAGTCATCTCCAAAAATTTTTGTTAAAACTTT